AAGAGCATGGGAGAGTCCTATGAGCTGATCTCTACTTGTTTGGCTTAGCTGGATGTTAGTTCTGTAGTGGGATTTTGTCTTCAGCACTTTCTGTACATATTACATGGTAAGATGTGTCATACTATAGGTAATGGAGGGTTAGGTCTAGGCTGGAAGGGAATTGAAATGCCATATGTTCTTGCTAACCACCTTCAACCAAAAAGCCATGTCCTCCAATAAACACAAAAGTGAACAATGCAGTGGCTTAGCTGGATGTTAGTTCTGTAGTGGGATTTTGTCTTCAGCACTTTCTGTACATATTACATGGTAAGATGTGTCATACTATAGGTAATGGAGGGTTAGGTCTAGGCTGGAAGGGAATTGAAATGCCATATGTTCTTGCTAACCACCTTCAACCAAAAAGCCATGTCCTCCAATAAACACAAAAGTGAACAATGCAGAGGACTAACAAAGCCAGACTTTGTTTGCCATCAATGATATCCTTAATAAGTCTCTTCATATAATGTTGGCCTGAACCACTGGTTGAGGTAAGAGGGACTTATAGTTAGACACAGAATAGACCAAAATTGTGGGTAACTGAATGTGTGTGTTTCTGAAGGAGCAGTTCCCAAACTAAGCAGAAGTGACAATCAGTAGCAGAATGTACAGGGATAATTGCTGGCATGGAAGATATGTATGGTTTTAAGACCAAGCCCAGCCATCTATCAAGAATCTATTTGAGCAGATTTCAGAGCAATTAATGGAATGGAGCAGATTTGATTGTTATAATGAATAGAGCAGAATTATTCAGAAAATTATCCTTTAGGTCATATCTTTCCATTTCGGAGGGAATGGGAGTTTTCTCAAGTGTTAGTGGAAGTCATTGTCTTTGAGACTCAACTCCTTAAAACTTAAAGAGCACAAATGCCACTTGGATAGCCCTGGATTTGATTTACTCTTTTCCTTTGCTCTGCTCCAGAATTGAACTCCGGGCCCTGGGCAAGATTGCAGAAGGAGAAGAACTGACAGTGTCCTATATTGATTTTCTTAATGTCAGTGAAGAACGCAAGAAGCAGCTCAAGAAGCAATACTACTTTGACTGCACTTGTGAACACTGCCAAAAAGGGCTGAAGGATGACCTCTTTTTGAGGGTGAAGGATGACCCAAAGGTACATGTGGCCCTAGTATGGGTGTGTTTGTAGCCACCTACTTGAGGAGCCAGGGAGGGGTGTATTCTGCAGCTAATCAATGTACCCCTACCCATTAGTTCCCAGAGGACCAGCCTGTAACCCTTGGGAAGGCTGTATGGGGTGGTGGAAAGACCACTATTAATAGATGCCAGCTAGTATCCTGGCACCACCACTTGCTAGGTGTTTTAGTTTGGAGACATTACTCAGTTTTCTTATCTGTAAAATAGAAATAATGACATCCACTACAAGGGGTTGTTATGAGTATTAAACAAAATGATATATGTAAAGGTGTGGCATATAGAGTAGACACCCAGTAAAATTTAGTTCCTCTCCTTCCTCTTTGCAGTTTAATTAATGCTGAGGATTTCATATATCAAGACCAGATGAGCAAAGAGACTTGTTTGTTATCACAAAGATATTCCTAGTCCCATGGAAATGGACAATGTAGAGATTGGGCAATGTTTAGATTGATGAATATGCTTAACTCTTAAGTAGCTATTACCTAATTAATGGTGAGAACACTGATCAGAGGAAGGCTTACTGAAAGGTATGTCAGGAGCTCAGCTGAGGTGTTGGGGTAGCCAGTTAAAGAAGCAGGGCCTTAAATCACTTCTTGCAATGGTATAAGCAAGAGGTAAACTGGAGCAGGTGCTGACTCCCTGTTCCATTTTCCCCCATGAAAAAGTACACTGGTGGAAGGTCAGGTGGATTAGCACAGATGTGGCTGGTCGTGTCACTGCTGAGAACAAAAGACTCCAGCAGTTTTGTGGTTCTCAAGCTGAGAGGTCTGGTTAGAGAAGGTTAGGGGAGAGGGCATGGGGGAAGGGCTAGGAATGGAAAAGTACTGGGTGCTGAGGCTGAGTAGAAGAAAAGTATCTTCAAGTTCCCCTGTGTCCTCCCCAATAAGGACGCCTCTGTAGAGGCACTTAAAGAAGACTTCAGCTCAAGGCCTCAGATAAAGAGACCTATATAAAGGCACAGGGGCTAAGCGTGCAAGAGCATGACCAGCCAGGGGGATCTGAGTGCTTGACTGCAACCCCCTTCAGAGACTCCCCTGCACTGACTGTGTACTAAGTCTGGTGTGGAGAGGGCAGCTTACCCCCATGAATCCCACCAGGTAAAGAAGCCTTTTGTAATTGCCTATGATCAGGTCTGAAAAATTACACACAGAGTTTTTAAAAAATTTACTGAAGTGACATTTGTTAATAAAATTATATAGGTTTCAAGCGTATGATTCAATAATACATCATCTTTATATTGCATTGTATGTTCACCACCCAAAGTCAAATCTTCCATCACCATATATTTGGCTACTTTTATCTAAGCCCCACTCCCCCATCTCCTTTTTAACCAGGAGTTAGGTTCCTCTGGGGTGACTGACTAAGCACTTCTATATAACTCACAGTCCACCAATGCATTTAAGGTACAAATACACAGATATACTCTTTAGTTAACTTCTGCATCCTGTGTGTGGGCAGAAATTTATCTTGGTTAGAGTAAAACAAAACTGACTCTTTGGTACAGATGGTGGGACCCCTCTTACTTCATTACTCAGTGGCATCAGTGCTAATGTTCAGATAACACTATTCCCCTGCCTGATTCATCTCTCTTTTTCATGCCTTGGCTATTCTGGACTGTTATTTTTTGGGGGGTGGGGGGACTACTTACTTATTTTTATTCTTAATGTATAATATTTTTAACCTTTTGACTAAACAGTTCTACTTTTAAGAATTTACCCTGTAGATAGACTTGAACATATGCACAAAAATATATGTATAAAGAGATAAATTGTAGCATTGTTGGGAACAACAAAATATTGAATAAAACCTAAATAACCACCAACAGGGAAACATTTAAATAAAAGAAATATGCTGTGGTAACTAAAAGTAATGAGACAGACTTTTGTGTACAGGTAAAGAATGAGCTCAATTTTTTATAGGAGAAGCATTAAAGAGTCAAACATTGTTATCTGTGTTAGTTTCCTAGGGATGCCATAACAAAGTACCTCCAGCTGGGTAGCTTAAATGAGAGAAATTTATAGTTTCACAGTTTCGGAGGCTAGAAGTCTGAAATCAAGGTGTCAGCAAAGATGGCTCCTTTTGAGGGCTCTGAAGGAAGGATCTATTCCAAGCCTCTCTCCTTGGCTTGTAGATGGACACTTTCTCCCTGTGTCTCTTCATGTTGTCTTTCCTCTGTGTATATGTCTTTCTCCTCACCTGACATTCTTTCTATAAGGATATCAGTCATATTAGATTAAGGGACAACCTGCTCTAGTATGACCTCACCTTAACTAATTACATCTATAATGACCCTATTTCCAAATATGATCACATTCCAAGGTGCTTGGGATTAGGACTTTAAAATACAAACTTGTAGGGGTGGCGATACAACCCATGAAACTGTGTGTACTACCATTTATGAACATTGAAAAGGACATATACATGCACACATAGAGGTCCATGCACCCACATGTGTATGCAAGCATAGTTAGTCTCTATACAGACAGAAGTAGGAGGACACTGTGACCACCAGATCAATGATGCCTGGCATGGAGAAGATGAGGGTCATCTCTACCAGGCAAGATACAAAGCAGTTGAGACCCAAGGATTAATATGTTCTTTATGGGAACAACCCCATTTCACAGAATCAAAGGTTCTGTATCCCAGGAAATGTGTATTGGCATGTATGTGTGAGGCACAAAGCACAGTACTGTAGAGGCTACAAAAAAGAATAAACTATTGCGTCCACCTTCACTCTGATCTTCCAAAACCTGTGAGATAACATGTATCTTATCTGCAAGGCAGTCGGCCTTCCCTCCTGGTGCCTGGTCCTCAGTATTTGTTTCATCACTTGTTCTATCTATCTATCTATCTATCTATCTATCTATCTATCTATCTATCTATCTATCTATCTATCTATCCATCATCTTCGTTAAGGGGCCAGAACCTCTATTCTTCCTTCCAAAATTAAATGAAACAATCATGTAATCTTTTCTCAAAATATTTCAATATTTACCTGTCAGATCCAACTGATAAGTACGCAAGATGTGGCCATTAGTTCTTGTCCCTTCACTTTAGATATGCTGTTATCAGCTGGTGATGATATGCTCACATCTTCTAATCTGAATTGCAGAGCTGGCATCTCTCTTGATGTGAAAAGTCGATCATTTCTGCTTGAACGTACCTGGAACTAAAGCAAAAGATTTTTATTATTTTTATATCATACTGTGGCTCTCTCCTAAAAAAATTAAATAACTCAAAATAGAAATAACTCAACCAAAAAATGAGCAGAAAAAAATTGAGTATAACTCTTTAAAAGCAACCGTATCATGGTTCAAGATAGTGGAACAGATAAATGTTGTGCTTGCCTCCTCTCTCAACGACATCAAAATTACAGAACAACTTATTGAGAATTGCCTGAAGTCTAGCTGAACAGAAGTCCTACAACTAAGGACATACAGAAAAAGCCACATAAAGACTGGTAGGAAGGGGTAGAGGTGTGGAGTGGGTTGGTCTCACACTCACAGGTAGAGTTAAAAATGGGAGGTATATCTCTGCTGGCTGTGTAGGTCCCCCCTAAGGAGCAAGGGGTCCCATCCTCAACCAGGTTGGGACATCCCCACAACTTCTGGCTGTGAAAACCAGCAGAGATTGTGCTTGAGTGAGATGGAAGGCTACTGGAACCTAGGCATTCCTCTTAAAGGGTTCAATGTACAGATTTATTGACTGATGGATTCACTTGCTCTGAGTTCCAGCATTGGGATAGCAGCTTGAAAGGTGCTAGGGACATATGGGGAGGAACTGATCTGTCTGGCATCAGGGCGAGGGCTAGAGGGGCAGCTTTCTTCCAGAGAGAAGTGCTGGCAGAAGCTATTGTTTCTTTTTTGAGCACTAACCGCCCTCTGCCACCATATCTGAGTCTCCATCAACCTGGCCAACACCATTCACCCAACCCAGTGATTCCCTGAGACCTTACCCCACCCAAATTCAGGATCACCCAAGCTGCTTTATTTCCATACACATGGCCTGTCTTGGCTCATGCTGCAAACTTTCCTAAAATCTCTCAAAAGTTCACAAAATCCGAATGAGTAGCATCTGGCCTTGGGGTGCCCTATACCTCTTGCTGAGCAGCCCCAAGCCTGATATTACTGGCAGCCAGCCTTGGTTCATGACTTGGCTTCTCAAGGCACCTCCAAGCCCAGTGCGGGTGGTGGCCATCTGTGGATTTCTTGATGGCTCATGGCCCAGTGAAGTGCATAGGCTGTGGCTGAACTTGGCCTATGGTGGGACCCCTCTCCAGAGGTTCCAAGCGAGTACACAAGGGATCAGCTTCAGACCAAATTGAAACACCATCTGGGGGCGATCCAAAGACAACATACATAAAGGGCAGACTGGGCATGCACCAGTGCCCTCCAAAGGAAATCCTGGTCTGTAGGATCAGGCCCGGCACAACAGCTCCTCCACTATAGTCACTGGCCAGTCCTCATGACCAATCAGCCCATGGGTCAATCCATCCCCACTGAGATGCAAACAACAACCAAGGCTCAACTATAACAGGAGAGCACACACAACCCATACAAGGGACATACTCGGAGCATCTAGCTCAGGTGGCCATGGAGACTGTCACCAGGCCCTTCAGGACATCTACTACATAAGGCCACTCTACTAAGACAAGAAGAAAGCAGGCAAAATGAGGAGACAAAGAAATATGTCTCAAATGAAAGAACACAACAAAGCTCCAGAAAAAGAACTAAACAAAATGGAGACAAGTGATCTACTAGATGCAGAGTTTAAAACACTGGTTATAAGGAAGAGTAGTAACTAATTATTTTCTCCATTTAGTCAGCTCTATCTTCTAAGCTTGCTATTTCATTCTTCGTCTCTTCTAATGAGTTCTTCATCACTCGAAGTTCTATTCAGTTCTTTTTTAGAGTTTTAGTCTCCTTGGTAAAATATTCCTGTTGTTCATTGATTTTGCTT